AAGACGAAGTTTACAATCTGAGTATTCAGTCGATACTCATTTTATTTTAAAAAGTATGCTGTATTTATACAAAAATAATCTTAAAACTAACTTAACTAATTTACAATATTTATTACCTGTTATAGCTTGTTTGAGTGGACTGTATTGCATTACAAAAAAACGATACAATAAAATCCCGGCACGTAGGATTTTTATTATTTTACAAATATATTTTTATTATCGATACGGTGCCGTGTATCATAAAATGTATTTTTTTAAAAAAAGTGTTTAATATTCTACAATGTTACTATTTTAGTTTTGGGTTTTTTATTACCCGTGTTTTTACCTTCGTATATAATTCTAAGAATTTAAACTATAACAGGCTTGGAATAATAAACTATCAATTTAAGGACATCCTGCCAGCGTGTTTAATATGCACAGTTGTGCATTATTTTAATTTTAATATAATTTTTTATGATTTTAAAGAGAAAACTGGCATTTGTCTTAAAATAACATGTTCATTATTGAACATACTGCCAGCGCCTTAATTAAGGCAGCATGACTTAATATAAAAGTATAATATAAAAGTTTAATTCAATAATATAGTATATATAAGTTTTATAGGTATTTTCTTTTAACAAAACTTTTTTTTTTTTAAGTATTTCAATTTTATATAAAAATAATTGTAGGATTTTAACATGGTAATATAGATAAAAAAAAATTATATAAATTAACATGATTCATTATTTAATATATTTTTTTTTAAGAATAATTAATTAATTAAGATATAATATATAATAGATATATTAATTAACAAATATAGATTATGTTAATTGTTCATTTTTGAACAGTCTGCCGAGGGCCTTTAATAGAAATAGACAACAGTTTTCTTCTTATTAGCGCTGCTCGAGTTAGATAAATCAGTATTACGATTATTGTGATTGTAGTTAATCCTAATGCCGTGTGCCCAGAAATGTGATGAAATTGTAAATCTTTTAGTTTTACTGTGTTACCCTTTATCTAATTTATTTTGTTAATTTCTTCTTTGTTATTTATTTTCCAATGATGCCAAGCTTTTATATTACTATTATCAATCATAATTGCGTCTCTAATAACCGGCTTGAGCTCCTCTACTATCGCAGAGCTTTGCAGATTACTAGAGGATGTTAATGTTGTTCCTCTTAAAAATGCCTTGACCTGATAAGTTTATTATATCTTCCATTGAATTTGAACATCTAATGTGGGCAGATTCTTGTTTAAAAGTTTTGAATATCCAACTATTCTTCACAAGTAAATTATTGCTCTGCTATCTTGCTGCATTGACTCCATGTCAAAGGATCCATCAATTGATTTCTTTTTGCACAACCAACCTATCTTCCTTATCGGTTTGCAAATGTAGTTTTTGATAGAGAATAGCTATCTGTTTCCTTTTCTGGAATGCTTTTCCCGATCTCTTCTTCTTCTTTTTTGTTGAGGTTTTGGTGAAGGTGGCCTTATCGGTCTCTGCCGTCTCCTGTATTCTTCAATAGTAAGACGCTTGGGACCTTGCTTCTTGGTGTCTGTTGGAGCATATTTTGGATAAGGATGGAATACTTCTTCTGAACAGTATTCCTCTTCAGCTTCGAGTGATATTATTAGAATATCCTCTTGGCTCGCCTAAATTAAAAAAAAAAAAAATTTTTTATATATTCCCTTTCTTTTTTTTTAAAAAAAATTAGAGAAACAACAATCCTAATTCTCTGGCCACAAATATTCCCTTAATACCTTTTTTATTCTAAAGGCTGTTAGGTTCAGCCAATAATTTCGGCGTTCCTTACGAACTGCCTGATTTTTTTTTTTTAAAAAGAGTTCTGTGACAAAACTTTTCCCTAGAATAGAGGAACAACAATCCTATTAATCTAGTCACAAATTTTCACTCAATACCTTTTTGATTCTAAAGGCTGTTAGATTCAGCCAATAATTTTGGCGTTTCTTACGGACTGCCTGATATTTATTAATAAGAACTCAGAGTGTTCTTATGAACTCTTTAATTTTTAGAGGTTGTATGGCTCTAAAAAAAAATTTTAATGTTAGAGTTCGTAAGGCTCTAACAAGATTTTAGTTTTAGAGTTTTTTAGGCTCTAAAATAATTTAAGTATTAGAGTTTGTTAGGCTCTAAAAAATGTTTAAGTCAAGTGTCTTACCTCTGGTGGGGGATCACTATGACTCATATATAAAAATGTATTTTTAGAGGTTGTAAGGCTCTAAAAAAAATGTTTAAGTCAAGTGTCTTACCTCTGGTGGGGGATCACTATGACTCATTTATATTTTTATACAATTTCCTTGGCTTCGAAGAACCAAAAAATGATCCGGCTCGAAGGACCAAAAATGATCCGGCTCGAAGGACCAAAAATGATCCGGCTCGAAGGACCAAAAATAATCCGGCTCGAAGGACCAAAAAATGATTGGATAAAAATAGAAGACGAAGTTTACAATCTGAGTATTCAGTCGATACTGATTTTATTTTAAAAAGTATGCTGTATTTATACAAAAATAATCTTAAAACTAACTTAATTAATTTACAATATTTATTACCTGTTATAGCTTGTTTGAGTGGACTGTATTACAAAAAAAGGATACAATAAAATCCCGGCACGTAGGATTTTTATTATTTTACAAATATATTTTTATTATCGATACGGTGCCGTGTATCATAAAATGTATTTTAAAATGTGTTTAATATTCTACAATGTTACTATTTTAGTTTTGGGTTTTTTATTACCCGTGTTTTTTCCTTCGTATATAATTCTAAGCATTTAAACTATAACAGGCTTGGAATAATAAACTATCAATTTAAGGACATCCTGCCAGCGTGTTAAATATGCACAGTTGTGCATTATTTTAATTTTAATATAATTTTTTATGATTTTAAAGAGAAAACTGGTCTTTGTCTTAAAATAACATGTTCATTATTGAACATATTGCCAGCGCCTTTATTAAGGCAGAATGACTTAATAAAAGTATAATATAAAAGTTTAATTCAATAATATAGTATATATAAGTTTTATAGATATTTTCTTTTAACAAAACTTTTTTTTTTAAGTATTTCAATTTTATTTTATAAAAAATTTTATAAAAAATAATTGTAGGATTTTAAAATTATATAAATTAACATGATTCATTATTTAATATATTTTTTTTTAAGATTAATTAATTAATTAAGATATAATATATAATAGATATATTAATAAACAAATATAGATTATGTTAATTGTTCATTTTTGAACAGTCTGCCGAGGGCCTTTAATAGAAATAGACAACAGTTTTCTTCTTATTAGCGCTGCTCGAGTTAGATAAATCACTATTACGCTTATTGTGATTGTAGTTAATCCTAATGCCGTGTGCCCAGAAATGTGATGAAATTGTAAATCTTTTAGCTTTACTGTGTTACCCTTTATCTCATTTATTTTCTTATTTATTTGATTAATTTCTTCTTTGTTATTTATTTTCCAATGATGCCAAGGTTTTATATTACTATTATCAATCATAATAGCGTCTCTAATAACCGGCTTGAGCTCCTCTACTATCGCAGAGCTTTGCAGATTACTAGAGGATGTTAATGTTGTTCCTCTTATACGTGCCATACATCCTTCTGCTAGTGATAAAATGCCTTGACCTGATAAGTTTATTATATCTTCCATTGAATTTGAACATCTAATGTGGGCAGATTCTTGCTTAAAAGTTTTGAATATCCAACTATTCTGTCGATATAATTTGACCCAAATGGAAGAATTATTTACTTCTTCGTAGTGACAATTATCTTGATTAGTTGGTTTCAGTGGCGAAATTTCGCAAGAGTTATCGTTTGCATCTGTCCAAGGAAAATTACCTTCACAAGTAAATTGTTGCTCCGCTATCTTGCTGCATTGACTCCATGTCAAAGGATCCATCAATTGATTACTTTTTGCACAACCAATCTATCTTCCTTATCGGTTTGCAAATGTAGTTTTTGATAGAGAATAGCTATCTGTTTCCTTTTCTGGAATGCTTTTCCCGATCTCTTCTTCTTCTTTTTTGTTGAGGTTTTGGTGAAGGTGGCCTTATCGGTCTCTGCCGTCTCCTGTATTCTTCAATAGTAAGACGCTTGGGACCTTGCTTCTTGGTGTCTGTTGGAGCATATTTTGGATAAGAATGGAATACTTCTCTGAACAGTATTCCTCTTCAGCTTCGAGTGATATTATTAGAATATCCTCTTGGCTCGCCAAAATTAAAAAAAAAAAAATTATGTATATATTCCCTTTTTTTAAAAAAAAAATTAGAGAAACAACAATCCTAATTCTCTGGCCACAAATATTCCCTCAATACCTTTTTGATTCTAAAGGCTGTTAGGTTCAGCCAATAATTTCGGCGTTCCTTACGAACTGCCTGATATTTATTTAAAAAGAGTTCTGTGACAAAACTTTTCCCTAGAATAGAGGAACAACAATCCTATTAATCTAGTCACAAATTTTCACTCAATACCTTTTTGATTCTAAAGGCTGTTAGATTCAGCCAATAATTTTGGCGTTTCTTACGGACTGCCTGATATTTATTAATAAGAACTCAGAGTGTTCTTATGAACTCTTTAATTTTTAGAGGTTGTAAGGCTCTAAAAAAATTTTAATGTTAGAGTTCGTAAGGCTCTAACAAGATTTTAGTTTTAGAGTTTTTTAGGCTCTAAAATAATTTAAGTATTAGAGTTTGTTAGGCTCTAAAAAATGTTTAAGTCAAGTGTCTTACCTCTGGTGGGGGATCACTATGACTCATATATAAAAATGTATTTTTAGAGGTTGTAAGGCTCTAAAAAAAATGTTTAAGTCAAGTGTCTTACCTCTGGTGGGGGATCACTATGACTCATTTATATTTTTATACAATTTCCTTGGCTTCGAAGAACCAAAAAATGATCCGGCTCGAAGGACCAAAAATGATCCGGCTCGAAGGACCAAAAATGATCCGGCTCGAAGGACCAAAAATAATCCGGCTCGAAGGACCAAAAAATGATTGGATAAAAATAGAAGACGAAGTTTACAATCTGAGTATTCAGTCGATACTGATTTTATTTTAAAAAGTATGCTGTATTTATACAAAAATAATCTTAAAACTAACTTAATTAATTTACAATATTTATTACCTGTTATAGCTTGTTTGAGTGGACTGTATTACAAAAAAAGGATACAATAAAATCCCGGCACGTAGGATTTTTATTATTTTACAAATATATTTTTATTATCGATACGGTGCCGTGTATCATAAAATGTATTTTAAAATGTGTTTAATATTCTACAATGTTACTATTTTAGTTTTGGGTTTTTTATTACCCGTGTTTTTTCCTTCGTATATAATTCTAAGCATTTAAACTATAACAGGCTTGGAATAATAAACTATCAATTTAAGGACATCCTGCCAGCGTGTTAAATATGCACAGTTGTGCATTATTTTAATTTTAATATAATTTTTTATGATTTTAAAGAGAAAACTGGTCTTTGTCTTAAAATAACATGTTCATTATTGAACATATTGCCAGCGCCTTTATTAAGGCAGAATGACTTAATAAAAGTATAATATAAAAGTTTAATTCAATAATATAGTATATATAAGTTTTATAGATATTTTCTTTTAACAAAACTTTTTTTTTTAAGTATTTCAATTTTATTTTATAAAAAATTTTATAAAAAATAATTGTAGGATTTTAAAATTATATAAATTAACATGATTCATTATTTAATATATTTTTTTTTAAGATTAATTAATTAATTAAGATATAATATATAATAGATATATTAATAAACAAATCTAGATTATGTTAATTGTTCATTTTTGAACAGTCTGCCGAGGGCCTTTAATAGAAATAGACAACAGTTTTCTTCTTATTAGCGCTGCTCGAGTTAGATAAATCACTATTACGCTTATTGTGATTGTAGTTAATCCTAATGCCGTGTGCCCAGAAATGTGATGAAATTGTAAATCTTTTAGCTTTACTGTGTTACCCTTTATCTCATTTATTTTCTTATTTATTTGATTAATTTCTTCTTTGTTATTTATTTTCCAATGATGCCAAGGTTTTATATTACTATTATCAATCATAATTGCGTCTCTAATAACCGGCTTGAGCTCCTCTACTATCGCAGAGCTTTGCAGATTACTAGAGGATGTTAATGTTGTTCCTCTTATACGCGTGCCATACATCCTTCTGCTAGTGATAAAATGCCTTGACCTGATAAGTTTATTATATCTTCCATTGAATTTGAACATCTAATGTGGGCAGATTCTTGTTTAAAAGTTTTGAATATCCAACTATTCTGTCGATATAATTTGACCCAAATGGAAGAATTATTTACTTCTTCGTAGTGACAATTATCTTGATTAGTTGGTTTCAGTGGCGAAATTTCGCAAGAGTTATCGTTTGCATCTGTCCAAGGAAAATTACCTTCACAAGTAAATTGTTGCTCTGCTATCTTGCTGCATTGACTCCATGTCAAAGGATTCATCAATTGATTACTTTTTGCACAACCAATCTATCTTCCTTATCGGTTTGCAAATGTAGTTTTTGATAGAGAATAGCTATCTGTTTCCTTTTCTGGAATGCTTTTCCCGATCTCTTATTCTTCTTTTTTGTTGAGGTTTTGGTGAAGGTGGCCTTATCGGTCTCTGCCGTCTCCTGTATTCTTCAATAGTAAGACGCTTGGGACCTTGCTTCTTTGTGTCTGTTGGAGTATATTTTGGATAAGAATGGAATACTTCTCTGGACAGTATTCCTCTTCAGCTTCGAGTGATATTATTAGAATATCCTCTTGGCTCGCCAAAATTAAAAAAAAATTTTTTATATATATATTCCCTTTTTTTAAAAAAAAAATTAGAGGAACAACAATCCTAATTCTCTGGCCACAAATATTCCCTCAATACCTTTTTGATTCTAAAGGCTGTTAGGTTCAGCCAATAATTTCGGCGTTCCTTACGGACTGCCTGATTTTTTTATAAAAAGAGTTCTGTGACAAAACTTTTCCCTAGAATAGAGGAACAACAATCCTATTAATCTAGTCACAAATTTTCCCTCAATACCTTTTTGTTTCTAAAGGCTGTTAGGTTCAGCCAATAATTTCGGCGTTCCTTACGGACTGCCTGATATTTATTTATAAGAACTCAGAGTGTTCTTATGAACTTTTTAATTTTTAGAGGTTGTAAGACTCTAAAAAACAATTTTAGTGTTAGAGTTCGTAAGGCTCTAACAAGATTTTAGTTTTAGAGTTTTTTAGGCTCTAAAATGATTTTAGTATTAGAGTTTGTTAGGCTCTAAAAAAATGTTTAAGTCAAGTGTCTTACTTCTGGTGGGGGATCACTATGACTCATATATAAAAATGTATTTTTTAGAGGTTGTAAGGCTCTAAAAAAAATTTTAGTGTTAGAGTTCGTTAGGCTCTAAAAAATGTTTAAGTCAAGTGTCTTGCCTATGGTGGGGGATCACTATGACTCATATATATTTTTATACAATTTCCTTGGCTTCGAAGGACCAAAAAAATTATTGAATAAAAATAAGTAATCGAAGTTTATCATATGAGTATTCAGTTGATACTGATTTTATTTTAAAAAGTATGCTGTATTTATACAAAAATAATCTTAAAACTAACTTAACTAATTTACAATATTTATTACCTGTTATAGCTTGTTTGAGTAGACTGTATTGCATTACAAAAAAACGATACAATAAAATCCCGGCACGTAGGATTTTTATTATTTTACAAATATATTTTTATTATCGATACGGTGCCGTGTATCATAAAATGTATTTTTTTAAAAAAAGTGTTTAATATTCTACAATGTTACTATTTTAGTTTTGGGTTTTTTATTACCCGTGTTTTTACCTTCGTATATAATTCTAAGAATTTAAACTATAACAGGCTTGGAATAATAAACTATCAATTTAAGGACATCCTGCCAGCGTGTTTAATATGCACAGTTGTGCATTATTTTAATTTTAATATAATTTTTTATGATTTTAAAGAGAAAACTGGCATTTGTCTTAAAAAACATGTTCATTATTGAATACTATAAAGATTCTATCTCTTTATATTATTTACCCTCCTTTTTATTCACCTAAGCTACTACCTAGCCACACCTAAGTATCTATATAAAATCATGATTGTAATAATTTCATTAACTAATTAAACTCAAACTAATTTTTAATTAAAAAGAAGTCAATAAAATATTAATTTATACTTATAGGTAATGCTGCTTGTAAATCCTACCAAAGCTGTTACTGTACCATATACAATTTGGAATATCATGACATCACGCGGCTTATTGCTTATTGCTTACAGCTGATTAGGTCTATTAAATTATGCTATATGGAGTCAATGTCGTCACTAAAATACTAGACCTGTCGGATTCTGTATCTGATGTTTTTTTTCGCATTTCATACGAATTACTAGTGCGATGCATGTTAAAAAACTCATTGATGAAATCGAAATTTATTTGACAAAATGTATGCGATAAAAAGAAGGAAATTATTTTTAATCCATTTAAATGTGGGCTTAAAATTTCGAATTTAGATAAAAAAAGACTTAAATGGAAAGTATTATTAACGGGAAGTTTAACCAAATATGCACCTATCCAAGAAGAAATGTTTATGCAAGGCGAATATATGTTACAACCTCTCTAATGACAAATGAAGAGTGATTGTGAAAATAAAAAAGAACAATTTCATTTACAAAGGAAAAATGTACCTATATTTGTATTTTAAAATTTATATACAATATAAGAATATTTATGTCCCATTTAGATATAACTGAACGACATTACTGAGGATATTTTCTTAATAAAATAGAATACTAGAACAAGGAAAGTCACCAATGTTGCAAATTTTATTGTCCATTAAACTAGGGTTCTATCAATTCTGGAAAATAGTTTCATCGCT